TCTTCATTTTTTTAAAACTTTCTGTTTATTTTTTCACAGTTTCATCATACGTTTTATTGCTAAATATAGTTGTTATTTTTAGCTATTTTCATATCTGAATTTTATTCATTCTCTCAGCGATATAGAATCATATTATATCATATTAGACAATGGAAGTCCGAACTAGTAAAATTCATATCAAATACACCTTTTATTCCGTTGTTAATGAACCACCACGGTTTTATTGATAGTCAGGTTGTACCCTAGAATACATTTTGCTTTTGCTTTCCATTTCATGTTTCCATTGCGTGTAAAATGATATATTTATTTTTTGTTTCAGGTGTGTGTAAAGTTTATTTTTATATATTTTTATATCCAGTGAAATATTAAGACGAGTGCCAATTTTTGCTGAAGTTTAATCTTTTTCATTACCTTCTATTTGTGACGACCTGGTATCATTATTTGTTGATGTATCCGTATTTTTAATTTTTTCTATCGCGTTTTTGGAGTCTGAATATTGAATTTTATCATAATTCTTTTCAATACGTATTATTATGCTTCCATAAAATGTCTTCTGTCTGTGTTCTGAAACGAATCAATCGACGTTCATTTGCGCATTACATGAGCATTAGTGAGAAATGAAAATGAATGGAAAATGTAGAAAAATTGAAAGTTGGTGTAGAAGAAACTGAAAAAGTTGACTTCGATAACTAAAATTGAAAGGAAAATACATGGAAGTATAAAGGAAATAATACTTTCGTTATAAATAGACGATTTATTTGAACACCGTTCAAATAAAATCGTCTATTTCAAGTAAATTATTCCATGATAAACTCTGAAACTGAACGAACACATCAATACCCACCGTTAACTTGTTAGATACTTTTTTGAACTGAGTTTGAAGATCTCTTTGTGAAAACTGGAAGCCGACGACCGATCCCGGTGCTTCAAAACCACCATCTGACGGGAATATTGCGAAACTTCCTGTCACCATCGGATCGTCTATCTGTCCGGCATCAAATGGTACGGAATAGACGAAAGATTCATCGTACTGATGCTGTAGGACGGCACTCTTGTACCACTTTTCGTTTATAGCCCTTGGGTGGAGATCACCAAATTCTCTAAAAAGATAAAAAAAAAGTCTCTTTTCTGTCCATTCAATTATTCATATAATAACTTGATGAATTGGAAAAATTTGAACATCTAGGTGGAATAGAAATAAAAACTAGTGATATGGAAAGGCAAGTGCTATTCCAGATCTTAACTAGGGAGCACATCATATAACTTTTAGGAAAGTACGTGAGGAAAGTGGAGGATTATGGAATTTCTCCTTCTCTGTCGCTGTGTAATGGTTTCTGTTCAGGTTGGTTTCATTTGTTGCCAAATCCGCATCATCCATCACAATTTTGGAGTTTTTGGTACATCTCTTTGTAGTTGACAATACCTATATTTTTCGTACAGTTTGCACGCAAACCCCTATAGCCTCACTTACTCCTTCTTAAAACTTCAGAGTTCAAATACATAAATTCTAATTCACCCGCTTTGTCCACTGTCTATGAACAAAAGTCCTGTATCCACCACAATTCCGAGGTATCTCACTCTCGTTTTTTGCTCTATCATTCTTCCATGCATGCTTAGTGCCGGGAGTCTTTCATCTTTGCTGGTTGGTATGAACATGCACTCCGTCTTCCTCTCATTATTACTCAGCCACATCTCTTCCTTCCATGCTTCATACTCACTCCATACCAACTTCCATCTATCCTCGATGCTATCCCCAGAGTTACCCTCTATGATGACAAGCTGGTCATCCCCATAGGCCGGCACTGGTACTCCTACTGCACCAATGCCTTGTCTGGTTTTCATGCTATTAATTCGCCCGAACCATGCTTCCATCACTAACAACCATGGAGTCGGTCCCAGACTTGACCCCTGTGGACAGCCTCTATTCACCGTTTCAGAGACCGCCACACAAGTGACTCTTTTCTCCCCTATATAAAGCTCATGCATTTCCTACCCATATTTTCTGACATTCCCATTCGCTTCATGCACACTTTAATCGCTGGTTCCCAAGCGATATTGAAGACGTTTGACAGGTCCGACGCCACAGACTATGTCTCCTTCCTCTCTTATTTTCTTTTATTCGCCTCACCATTCTCTCTACAGTCATGACGGTATCCATTCTCCCTCTGAACCCAAAGTGATTCGAGGAGAATATCAACTTTCTTTCACAGCATATTTGCATCCTACCGTTCAGAAGCCTGTCCAATATCAATCCCATGCCATTCAGCAGACTGATTGGCCTGGAATTTCCGTCCTTCTTCGTTATCCATACGACCTTTGTTCGCTTCCATGCTTCGGGAAAATGCCCTCTCCCTAGGTAGGCGCTGAATAGTTCTACCATACATTCGCCATTCCTTACGAATAATTTCGTTCGTGACCCCATCCACTCCTGTCGACTTTTCGTCAAGGAGCTGCTCAGCCACCGCTTTCAACTCCCGAATAGAAAATCCAGGCTGATCTTTTTTCCCATTTTTCATCATCTCTCTTCTTCCACCAGCTCGAGGTGTCTCTCAGAGGATCGTCCTTGGGAACCAACAGCAGGAACCTACTGGTCTCTTCCTTCCCCTCGATGAAAGTACCATCCTCCTTCAAGACGTTAGATGGCATTTCCTCCACTCTATCATTGTTGAGGAGTCGAAAGGCTCGGTCTCACGGATTTTCATCCTGTATCCGCTCCACTCTCTCCCTCAACCAACTAATTCTTGCCCTCCCTATCGCTCTTCTATACCCATTCCTTTCTCTCCTATACTCATCCATCCTTCGTCTCCTTTCCTCTCCTCCTCTCATGTTTTGAGACTCCCTTCTTATTCTCCTTACATGTCTTCGTAGGCTTTTCAGCTCTACGCTCCACCTTTCTCTCTTCGTGTCCATTATCCTTTCGCACCTAGGTATAAATTCCATGCATGCTTCTTTCAATCTCTCTTGAAGCTGCATAGCTTCCCTGTCGAAATCCTCTTTCGTTTGCAACCTACCTGGTTGGTACTCGAGCATCATCTGTTCGATTCTAACCCAGTTGGTTTATCTAACACTCGCAACTAACGCTCTCCTCATCTTTGGTAACCCCATCAAGGAAAACTCAATCACCCTATGATCACTCATTGTTTCCTTCATGCACACTTTCCAGTCATTCACCTGCTCATTCTCACTGATGATCAAGTCGACCCAACTTTCACCCCTGTTGCTGGAGAAAGTGGCCGGACTCTCACAGTCGTTCTCTTTTAGGTACCTCTTCTCCATCACCTATTCTAGCACATCTTCTCCCCTCTCATCCGTGATGTTGCCACCCCATGCTACATTCTTCGCATTCATATCTCCAACCAGATTCTTCCTTCCCTCTCATTCATCAAATATTCTTATAATTGCATCCAGTTTCAAATTTCTCTTCCCACCTGGCTCATCGTACACATTCATGATTCTAACCTTATTCCTTTCGTTTCCTACAACTATACCTATGACATTCGTACTTCTGACATTCCTAAGGGCGAGGCTATGGATGGTGGATCGGACCCATGTTCGTACCTTGGTGCCTTCTCTACCATCGTGTTTGACCAACCCCTCTCCCAAGCCGGTTCTCTAGCCCACGGTTCCTGTATACACGCTACTTCGGCGTCACGCTCTTCAGCGATCCTCCGGTGTGGTGTGGTGGCTTCCCTCCTTTTTCCCACATTAATCTGTAGAACCTTGAACGTATTTGGTTCTCCTTCTTTGTACCTCTACCCCCCTCACATATACTAGGCACTTGGGGTCTAGCGCCGAGTGCCTCCTTTCACTCACTGCCACTACGTCTCGAATTTGTTGTATGCCAATTCTTGCCTGCATGCCTTGGTGGTGTGCCCAAAGTGGCAACACTTAAAGCACACCGCCAAACTATTGTGCTCTTTCACATACACCCCAGCTAGGTCCAGGCCAACCACCCCTAAGGCCATCATCCTCTTGAAAAGCTTCGCATTTAACTCCACAATCACATTCTCTTTCCATGCTTTCCTACAATTCCTTCTCTTTCTCACCACAATGCTCTCTATGTCTCCCTGCGTTAGGCCTTTACCCAGTTCTGGGTTCTGTTCCAGCAGGAGTCTGATCAGCTCCTCGTCCCCATATCCCTTCTTCACTCCCGTGGGTAGGACATAGGGATTTGGTTTCTGACTATCCTTTATGCTGGCCCTACTCTCATCCCGGAGTACGTCCCTGATTTTTTGTTTCCCCTTCTCCGTCTTGCCTTTTATGACCACCACTCCCGTCCGGTTTCGAGTCACGGCTTCCACATACGACAGGCACCCCTCTCTGCGAGGCCTTTCGCTCACAATCCTCGCGGTTGGTATATTGTCCTCCTGGATAGCTTTCATATGATGATTTTCTCTTCTAAGGAAGGTGGAGTTTTCCACCCTGACCTTTCCTGCCTTAGTCTCTCTATTTCGGTCGGGTATGTTTTCTTTTCTCTGTTTTTATTCCTCCTTAAATTTTTGTTTTGGACCTCCTGATAACCAGCATCTGTTTCCATATCAGCTGCCTCTGTGTCAGCTCTGTGCACCCCTTTACCGTGCGTTCCCAAGACTCAGCTTGTTGGTTGTGTCCTTCCTTTTCTCCTGTTTATTACTTGTGACCTTCAGCTGCTTGTCAATATTTTTCATGATACACCACTCTTCTCCCATACCATTCATCCATCCTACCAGCCCTTCTAATCTAACAGTCAGAGCTGTCACACCTTCTCTTTCCTTTTCCATCACTCTCACCATCTAACTTCCTTATTTTCCCTTCAAGCATGCCCTCTTTCGTTTCAAGTGATTTGAGTTTGTAACCAAGATTCTGTTCTTCATGATTAAATTGAATTTCCCCCCAGAGAATCTGGTCGTGGCCTTCTGTATGGTCCCGACCACATCCCCAATCATGGCTGTCCACGAGTCTGCCTCCGAGTGTACTTTACCACCCCTTCTAAAAATATTCATAGAGGATTTCTCTAGTTGCTCTTCTTAACTTTCCGTGTCCTCTTCACTATCTCTTAATGTCCTGTTTAAGTCCTCCCGGAGTTTCTCAATTATCTCGTTGGATTTATCCAGGATCTCTTTAACTGTCCCCTCCATGGTTGCCTTGGCTTCTTGAAGAACCAAATCAGTCAGCGTTTTCCTTTTCTCTGGTGGTGTCCTATTCAAAGACTCCGTGGGCTTGAATATATCCAGATCATCCGAATTATCTCCAAAACCTTTTTTTTAAGTGCATATTGTGATTTTTCACTGGATTTTATCCGAAAACTGGTCTTTACATTCGATAAATTGGCGAAGGTTGTTTTATCACCTTTCGCCAGATTAGAATGGAAAAACTTAACCGGCCAAAAATTCTTATCTCGTTTTTATTCACGACCACCGATAAGATTTTATTTCACCTAGAAGTAAATTGTTTTTCAAATATTGAATGCATGCATTCAAAAAAATATAAGAATTCTGTTTTTAAGTGTCTATCACGAAATATTGAAGAAATATAATTTTCGTATACCTTGATAATGTGTCCTTTTTCACTTCACAATTCCACTTGTACTGTACAAAAACAATTCCTAATACGATTCTAGTAGCTCCCAACAATACGTCCGTCCTCGACGAAAGCTGAGAACGAAGTCAGGTCAACTGGCAAGAGTTTCAAATGCTGAAAACCTGGTCCATCCTGCGGCAGGGTAAACATAGAGTATGTGCCTGCCAAATTTTGAATTTTCTCCCAAAGATTGACCGGACGGTACATTTTCTCCAGTTCCAAATGCTGAAAACCTGATCCGTTCTACGGCAGGGTAAGCATAGAATATGTGCCTGCCAAAATTTCAATTTTCTCTCAAATATTGACCAGACCATGATACATTTCTCTCCAGTTCCAAATGCTAAAAACCTGATCCGTTCTGCGGCACAGGGTAAACATCGAGTATGTGCCTGTCAAGGTTTGAATTCCGCTCGAAGATTCACCAGACCATGATACATTTTTCTCAATATAGTTAGGCGGTTAGTCTGCGACTACCTTCGTCAGGTAGGTAAGCATCACTAATTTATAGCTTAGGAAGTAGGTCTCCTAAGAAACATTTCAGGAAGACGCCCTTCTTACAGCATCCAACAGCCTGAAGACACTCTTCTCAGGTATCCTGCACCCATCCTGTCCGGAATGTGCAACTCTGGAATCGTTCCTGTAGACTTTCTTCTGGAATATTTTCACCAGCAGACATAATGACATACTAAAAAGATTTCAGTTAATCGGTCGATTTTGAGGTTGCCGAATATTTCCACTTTTATTTGCGCGGCGATATATTGGATTCAGGAATGGAGTGCTTTTAGCCTTTGGGTGAATCATTGTTCGATAGTAAGCATTTGCTGACCTCTCTTAATCGATTCTGCAACTGTTCGATGCAAGACAGATAGTGAGCAGACTGTTGTTTGAACTACTTGCATTAAATACAATTTTATTGAAACCAGGTATCGAGAATAACGATCAATTCTTTTTTATCTAGCATTGGTAATCAGAACAAAAACTGTTGAAAAA